AGCCGGCGGCCAGGATGTTGTACCATTTGGCTTTATCGGAGCACTCCTGGGCCAGCTCCAAGTTACCCTGGGTCTTCTGGTCGCGGGCCTAGTTGGTTAGAACACGTACAGTAGGCATTAATTAGTCGTCTATCGCTTAGATTGATTTTAGGGCTCGCGACGTGCTTCGACGGATGAGGAGTCATGTCTGGGTTTAGGTTTACGGTCGGGGCTAGGGGAAAGGTCTGGGTTGAGGATGAGGGTTAGGCTAAAGGCTAACGACAAGTCTGGGTTTGGGTTGAGGGGTAGGGAAGGTTTTAGGGTTCTGGTTAGGATTCAGGTTTGTGTGAGGATGAGTGAAATGCTCCAATTGACAAGGTGGTAAGGTCTGGTTTTAGTGTTAAGGTCGGTTTCAGGACAAGAGTGAGGGTCTGGGCTGGTGGCATAATTCACCAGCCATGGGGTTAGCGCTAGGAAATCGACTGGGTCAAGGTCTACGTTCGTTTCGGCTTTGGGTTGGGGTTCGCCACAACGTTTCTGCAGACGTTTCACAACATTTGCTTTTTCAAAGCCAAATCGGCCCGGCCATTCGTGGACGAGATTTAGCAACTTTAAGGACCTGATGACTAACCACGAACCTGTCGATAATGCTCAGTGGGCCTGATTATAGAAGAGTGCGGCTTCGGGTTTTGACTTAGGTTGAGGTTAGAGCCCGCTGCCAGCAACACGGATTTAGGTTTTGGGTTAGGACGAGTGACATGCTTCTACAGACATGGGGTTAGTTCAGGGTTTAGGCTTTCGCCAACCAAATGTATGTATCCATTCCGATCATTTCACCGCTGTTCTTTCAAGACCTCTCAGATTCAAGGCTGTTACATTTTAGAGCAATCCAAGCTTCTTCTTCTTCCTCCCTCTCTAATTTCTCTTGAGCATTCGCCCACCAACAACATGGCAATTACGCCATTTTTAACCACCCGCAGGAAGCCACTCGCCGTCTTTAATTAGGGACTCCGGGCCAGTCCGCTGCTGGCGCACGAAAACTTTTGTACACTCTGTCGTTTCTTCTTACGTGGAAATGGATTTCTTGGCCCCATTTCTGGTATTTTTTCAAGGCTTCATTTCGAGGATGCAACTGCAATGCGCCATGATGGCGGTCATCTCACCACAACAAGCTTTCATGAGAGAATATTTTCTGCTCTGACAGAGTTGGAATTGCCTGACAACTGCCGATGCCGACGTTGAATCGCGTTAGCCTGGTAGCTTAGTTGCCCGTGAGATTTTTTTACCTCACGGTCACAATATCCTTTAAAAAAACAAAAATAAAATAATGTGCTAACGATCAAATTACATTTTCTTTATGTTCTGCGTAGATTCTCAGTCATCCAGGTCATGGGAACATTCGAAGCAACTGGATTCTTCTGGTTTGCGGGATTAAAAAAAAAAAAAAACGGAAGCAATTATGCTAGCAGGCTAGCGATAGAAATTAAATCCGAATGGCTGATGACCCTCGCAACGCAAATCAAACTGAACCCTTTCATGAACCCTGTAACCTGATAACATGATCATCTGTCCACGGTAGTAACCACTGTCCCTGAAAGGGTTAATGTCAATCAACGACAGGGAACGTTATCCACCAGTCCCTCAAGCATGCCAACCAGAATTCGTGTTCGTGCGCTAGTATAATGACAGAAGTGAACGTGTGGCGCAGCCTCACCTTGATGGAATACAGGAGAGCCATGAATCCCAAGCAGCAGAAGTTCACATACAAGGTGTTGCACAGAGACCAGAAGATGTAGTCCCGAGGTGGGTTCTGGCCCACGTTGCCCATGTTGACCGCGGTGGAGCCGGCTGGTTTGCGGGCAGACTTGCAGTTGGTGAGCGGGGTGCAGTCGGAGGGGTAGTTGTACGAATGATGGTACGAATGGTTGTCCATGGTTTGGTCCGGTCGACGCAACTCGGTCCTGGCTGATGTTTTCCTTTTGGAGGAAGCAAGCGAGGAGATTCGGTGGAGAGGAGCCCCCCCGCCCCCAAGTAGGAGGCTTATATGGGGCCAGTGAAAAGGGAGGTGACTGGCAGAGGGCGTATGGGCACGGTCATTTCATATGCGCCAGCTCTGTCATTACGCGGTCAGCCTGACAGGGCTGAAAATAAGCAGGACCAACAAACAGAAAACTTTGAGGGAGAAGACGGATTTTTTTTTCCCTTTTTGCAGTTTAAATGTGCAGGTGGAGGTCACAAAGGAGGACTGATTGAAAACACAATCAGAAAATGCCTTGACCCTCCCGTCAGTCAATAAAATACATCAAAAGAAGTCAATAATTCATCCAAATGTCTCATCTTTTGATTGTCCAAACTATTTCTGTGTACATGTATACATCCGTCTATCCAGCCTTCCACCTGTCCTTTAATCCATCCCATCCTTCTTTTTTCAGTACAAGGTGTCCCAAAAAGCGCCTGATCTTTTTTCTTATACTGCCCACTTCAGGCCTTCAGCATTTGTCAGCATAGGCTTTGCAGTTTTTGCAAACCTATCATTCCCTTGCCCACGGCTCACCGATTGACGCTTGGCATGAAATTTTTCCTGTCCCTGACTGCGGTTCAGAACCATGATCCTGCACTTGACATTTTTGAACAACCTGAAGTTGGCTCAGGTTGAGGCTTTTTCCCTATTGAAAGCATCTACCGATTTGACATTTTGTTGATTGGGACTCTACCTGGCTTTGTGCAAATGCCTGCTCTCCGGGTTTGGGTGTCTTCATCAGTAGGGGCGAGCGGAAATTGTAACCACGCATGGGAACAGTGTGACGGCCACAAAGCTTCGCAAACTGGGGCTGTATTGTGCAGTCGGCAACAGAAAAACAAATTGGCAAGCGGCAACTTTTGCAACGCTGTTCCAATGTCAAAGGGCAAGCCCCGGCCGACGGATGATGATTGTCACAAAAACTCTGAACCCTAAACTGTCAAATGCTGATGGCGTCAGGTCTGTCCAAATGATAAGGGAAACGAAAAACGCCGTCTATCGTTCAGTATGTCCTGCTAGCCGTTTAGCTGTCTCCCCAAATTCATCTTTCCATGTCTTTTAAAAATAAACAGCTTGTCCTTTTATCAATCCATCAATTCATTTAACTATCTGGGTTCAATTATGAATCACGACCCACTATCTCTGCAGCTAATATACAAATCAGAAATATCACACAGTAGATGTCAATTTTAAACGAAAGGAGAAAAAAACAAACAAACAAAAAAACCACGCACACAAAAAAAGTTGAAAGCAACATGCGGCAACACCACCACCTGGTGGCCCGTTACTGTCAATTTCATCAAACGCAGCAATCGGCACCCGGATGTAGTCACTTTTGTTGGTACAGTATTTTAAAAATAACAAGTAAATAAGGGAGAGCAACATGTGGCGACATTTTTACAATACGCCAGTCGTGGCGTTCTTTGATGACTGCTAGGTGGTGCATTCATTTCTTCGACTTACCGAAATTACTCTCAAGTGAACATAAAGACAAGAGGAAGAAATAGAATTGCGGTTGAGATTGAACATAATACAGCGGAACCTCGTTACAATCTACCTCGAGGGAAATATCGAATCTGAACGTTATAACGGTACATGTATTTTGTTGTAACCATTTCCAATAAAATGGCCGCCAACGATGATGTACAGTATCTTACAGTATGAACATTTATAGATGGGGTAGCTTAGGTTATTTTTTTAACTATTATCATTTTATATTTGAGCATCATACTATTTCACATTAAGAATACCTAAATTATATTCTGTTGTTGAATAATTGCTTAGACATGTTTTTTAATGCTGTTAGCTTCTGATTGGCTGAAAAAAAAGTCAAGCAGGAAGTGTTTTAGTTGCCGAGAGGGTTCTCCATCGTGCTGCGGTGCAGTCGTCCTTTCAATAAACCTGCGTTCAAACAGAATCCATCGCTCCTTTTGCCGTTTCGTAAAGTAGAACGATCCATTCATAAACAACGAAGCCCTCAACTTACAGATGAAAAAACATGAACATGCAATACATTATAACAATGATTTCATTAGACATGAAATGAACACGTGTAGCGTTCCTGCTTCATCTCTGAAAAAATTTCGTCAGCAAGTGAAAAGTGCCTTCTCCAATTCAGAACGTGCCTCACCCCGAAAGCATTTCCGATCATCTAGACTCAAACTCTGCCATGATTTTGTTGCCATTACAGATGGTTGTCAAAATCGTACTGTGCCAATTTGTAGTCTCGGCTGAGCTTCGTCTGGGAGACAATTTCAGCCTTCACCGACTGCAAGTTTAGCTTCCGTTTACCAGACACGTTTTCAGACCATGCGCACCCACCCCCGGAAGTACAACAATGTACACGATCAGCCGGGTTGCTAAGCAACAAAGGGGAATCCCGCGCTGTACATTTTGGTCATAAGCAAGGTCGCGGCGGTAGTCAGCTTCCCACGGTTCGCTGAAACAAAGGCCTTTTCACTATTTTGTGGGAAAAACCTGGTCGTTATAATGACGTTTACGTGATAACGGTGTTCGTTGTAAGCAACATAGGCAAAATCTAAAATTAATGACGTTATTGCAGTGGAAACATGAACGGCGTACGTCGAAAACAAGGTTTGACTGTATTTTACATTTACGGAACACATTCAACAAAGGGGTGCTTAAAAACATTAGCAGCCATTTTTTCCCCCAAATATGTGTGTGTGGGGGAAGAGTAAAACAACATTTATAAATCTGAAATATTTACTGCAGTTATGACTGACATTTTGTTGTTGTTGTCGGTTCTGACTTACCGGTACATACATACACATTCCAGTTATGTTGCCCCTCTCCAGGGCTGGAGCTCCGTGGTGGCTATTGGGGGCATTTCCTACCACCCTACTGATGTCACCTTGTGACCACCGCTTTGTCAGTTGTCGCGTCACCGTGGCCACTCCACAGAAATAGATCTGGCTATGTCCAGACTGTGTGGTAAACCGAGGACCACCTCTACTGTATGGCAGTGGGGGCTAATCCATCAGCCTTGGTCCAAGTGATTTTAGCTCGAGGTTGATGAACAAAATAAAAATATGTACAAATACAAAGTCAAATGGATAAATGGGCAAGTCTGTGTTCATTTATGCACGCTGGAAACAAACTTTTTTTTTTTTTTTTATTGGATTGATGTGATGTGAGACTGCAACAACAAAGCAAAAAAAAAAAAACAAAAAAAAACCTGAACGTGCAAATCCAAAAGATGCCGGGCGGGAAACGTCATGGTCATATATTTTTGTACAGTTCTTGTATTGGATCTCAGAATTTGACTGACGCTTATAAATAAAGATGTATTGTGTGTGTAGATTTCTTTTTTTTTTATGTAATTCCCATCAAAGCACATGACCACCTTGAAATTTAGACGTGGCGGCGTTTCGCACTTGCAACCAAGAATGCATACACGACCACCAAAAGGAAGACAAAAAGGCCAAAAAAAGAGAGGGCTAAGAAATTTAGTCTTTTGGCCATGTAGGCGTGCTTTTGGGCTGCCTCCAGGTCTCCCACCACCTTCCGGTCTCTGGCCTGAAATCACACACACACACACACACGCACACAAAAAGAGAGAACTGCATTAAATAAGGGGTAAGGCATTCATAGTTTTTTTTTGTACAAGTGCATTTTTGTCATTATTTTGAATTCATTAAAAATTAGATCCTACTAAAAAACATTTAATACATCTTGTAATACTTGACTATGCAGAGCACATTACGGTTTGTACTGCACGTTACAGTGGCTGACAATAATATCAAAAATGACTTAGATACGAATAAAACCAACTGCTTCAAGTACTTATGCTACAATATTTATGGCAGTACTTGGCAAGTGAAATATTTTTTGGAGATGGTATTTTGGTGTAAAATACTTGCCAACCATTGTCCTGGATTACAATTATTACAACAAGTAGGAATGCATTTAACATTTTGCCAGTGGTTAAAACACATCTACAGTAAAAAAAAACACACACACACAAAAAACTCTAGTACTCATTCAATCCCAAGTCCACATTCACATTAAAAAAAAAGTGATATTGCACATTTGTGCTTTACACACCAACGGAGCAAAAGTCTCTCAACGCAAATATTCCATCGGACTCCAGCAAGAAAAACAAAATCAAATAAAACAAACAATGACCTCACCTTGATAGAGCAGATGAGCGCTGCCAGTCCCAAGCAGAAAGGATTCCCGAAGTAGACAAACGAGAAGAGGGAGAGGATGATGTAGTCGGGTGGCCGCGGAGTGTTCTCGTCCACGGTATTCACCTCGACCACGGTGGGCCCGCTGGCCTGGCCGGCGTCCTCGTCGGAGGTCGTGGCCTTCATGGGGACCGCATCGTTTGGGCTGGCAGCTGGGTTCATGGTGCGTGCGTGTCAAACGTCAAAGTCAAAAGCACATATCCTTGATTTCCTTTTTGTGCTGGCGTTTTCGGAGGTCGACGGGAAAGTCAAGATGAGGGGAAGGAACACGGTGGACACATGCATTGTGACACTGGTTCTCTTTTTGAAACAAATTTCCCAAGAGGAAATATTGTGAATGAACTGTCAAGGATATGTTTGAAGTAACAATTTTGCGTAAAACGCACACACACACACACACACACACACACAAACATCACACACACACACACACACACACACACACACACACACACGCACACAAACAGGGGGATCGCCTGAAATTTTTCAGTGGAGTAGCCAGGATGACACAACACCTCAGTGATTACGTTGACATGCAATCGCAGCTTTCAAAACGCAAATTTTTGGCAGTGGAGGTATTAAAGCTTTGAAAAGTTTTTAAAAACCCAAATAAGACCCCTGGCTTACTCCTTTTCTAACCCAAATATATGGTCGGTTAGCATTCTGGAGATGGAGCTTCTAATTTAAATGCAGATGCGCTGTTGTTACCCGTGTCCTCATGAATATTTTTATCATCCAAGAAGATAAGGATACAACACCTTGGACTGCTCCTTGTGTGATGGTTGAAGGTTTACAATTTACTGTAACCTCACATCAATGCTAATTTTGATTAGCATGTGACTGTACGGTATCAATTAGTGTTAATCAATTGTTTTTACACGTCACTTTTCAATGGAACAACAGCTTGGAGTGGCCCATAAACAATGTTTTACAAACATCGCCGTTTTACTCATAACCACTGTGATTTGTGATAGATAAGAGTTTATGTCATATTTTAACATTAAATATTGTCTACGTCTAAAATACAAGTTTTAATGACACGTGGGCTGAATTCATGAAAGATCACTACAGTTTGATTTTTCTTCTGCTACTGAGGCTTCTCATCGGGCAACTGAGCATCGGCAAAGACAAGTACTGTACTCTCACTTTTTCAGGCTTGTTTCTCATTTCAGAGAAGATTTGTCCCGTTGTACAGAAAAATCTCTTTGAAGGCACTGAAGTTGTAACAATGCACAGCTTCTTCACCGTGAGCTTGCTAAGCCTCGGATGTTCCACTCAATTCTACTACTCGGGCAGCTCCTCTGGTACGTTTTCATCCAACACTGCGGTTGACTTCTCTACGTCCCTCTTCCCTCCGTGACTTGCTACGTTGCACACAAGCAGGGCAAGCTAACATGCTAAACGGACACTCTTTCCAGAAGCGAAGCGAGGGGCGCGGGCGATTGATAAATGAACGGCTCGCTACAAAGACTAGTTGGCCATCGATCACTTTAAAGAGTCGCTCTCGAGACTTGAATCGTTTGTGAACGTCACATCAGTTGTGTTCTTTTTGCGGCGGTGTTTTTATTTACTGTTACTGAAGTGTATATTCGACAGGGAATACAAAATAGTCTAATTGAATCGTGTTTTGATATTGAACGCAATAGTTTTTCAGCTCCGGAACATATCCGACAAAGGAGTGATTTAAAAAAAAAAAAGCAAGGAGGTGTTTTTATTGACTGTGATATGTTGAACTGCACATTCGACAACAGCGAACACAAAATAGTCGAATCGAATTGTGTTTTAATATGGAACTCAAGAGTGGCCGTTTGCGGAACATAACCAAAAACATGATTTTTTTTTTAAAGACAGAAATGAAGAAAAGATAGCAGAGGATGGTTTCGATCCATCGACCTCTGGGTTATGGGCCCAGCACGCTTCCGCTGCGCCACTCTGCTGTATACCTGATTTAGCGATTATAACCGTTATATCGTATAAACATTGTTTCTGCGTGTACGCTTAAAGTGCGCATGGGGAGAGCAAACCGACATTTAAAACAATTGTTACTTATTTGCATAGTCTATTGCGAGTGGCTCTGTAATCTGTATAAATAGGTACCTCCTGCAATAAACGAGGAATTCACTCGAAGCGGTCCTTCCTCTTTTCCATTTTAACCGCTCTACATTCATGATCTGAACGATACAGAATCGCTCGCCTTGCCAGTGTTATTTTAAGTCTTTTTTAACAAATCTTAACCAGGGGTGCCGATGATTAGAGGACACGGAATGTTCTTCATCTTCTGTAAAAAAGACAATAATACAGGACTGTATTACTGATTCGTCACAGTAGTTCTTCATTTTTGTCTGCGTGAATGCACTGCCGCCCGGTGGCCGAGCTGTACACACCAACTCGAATAAATCCCAACGAATTAATCATGACGCAAACGTTTTCATGATTTACATTCCAATTATGTGATTACAATGTTTTCTTGAATGTAGAATATGATAGAGGGCAAGTTTTTGGGGGGGACAGGGGAGGCTGAAATAGATTCACGGCATTACCCTTAATTTTAATGAGGCAAGAGGATTTGACTTTGATTTGTCTTTTGAGTTACAAGCGTGGTGATGAAATGATTGTAGCTCAGGGCACCACCGTGTAGGTCATTTTAGTGGACTTTCGTGTGAACGCAGGATAGTCCACCAGAAAAAAAATCCAAGCCTCAAGATTACGGAGTAGGGAAGGAGTGAATGATTCCGAACACATCTCAAAAAAAGGCAACACGAGTTGAGCTGAGGCCTCATGACCTTTGAAATTTCGCGTAAGAACTGGAATTACAAATTGTACTTCTTTTGCAGCCTTTGTGTTCGTGTTTTTTAAAAAAAAAAAATTAAAACATTTTTTCAAAATCCAGCAAAATGACATTAAAAAAAAAAGTGACCGACAAATAAGATGCTGCTGATATGCATTTTATTAGTCAAAGGACTGTTACATCCCAATCAAGGACTTTTAATTAGGCGACTTTGCAAATATACATAAAATGACAAAAAAATTTAACCGGTGTAATGCTTGAAGATGTGATTGCGAGTTATAAAAATGGACGGATGGATGGGGGGGCGCACGCGCACACACACACACACACACACGCGCACACACGCGCACACACGCGCACACACAAATTGCCTCTTCTGTGCTGTACTTCTGAACAGATTCCCACATTAAATGTTTTCCAGCACCAGAAAGCGAGCAGAAAGATGAATACAGTGGAACCTCTCCTTACGAACATCTCTTCATACGTAATTTTCAAGTGACGAAACGCCTCAACAGGAAAATATTGCCTCTTGTTCTTAAAGAAATTTCAAGATGCGAAAGGTAACAATACAGTATGGGCTGCTCCTCGCAGCTCCACGTTTCCTGAAGGCAACATACTTATAGCTGCTCTGCTATTGGCTATTACCTGGCATCTTCCTGGCATCCCATTGGTTAAGAGGGACCTGTGTGTAGCTAGATAAATAGCTAGATAGGTGTCTATCTAGCTCTATTGAAGGATTGTTAAAAACCGACAAAGCAAACGTCCTTGGATCAGTTCTTGACAAAGCGCCAGTCAAAAACCACTTCTGAGAGTGAACGTGAACTAAAGAGGGCAAAAACCAATGATGACGTAGTTAAAAGTTAAATGACCATCATTTTTATTCTTTATTCTTTGTTTTTTACACTATGCACAACTTTCATTTACTGTGCAATACTCTAATTGTAACACGTCTTTGTTAAACATGTGGATCCATTTTTATGCTTTAGAAAACATCTATGTCTATGTTTGGGGTGGCTTGGAACGGAATAGGACATTTACATGGAAAACACTCTATTTACAAAATTTTTTACAAAATTTTCTAGTTGAGACACTTCTTCCAGAACATATTAATTTCGTAAGTAGCGGTACCACTGTAGATGCATTTGTATTCTAGCCAGCAGTTCAGTCAGTTATGGGGGGTACTACTTTTACTATAAGAATGATTTCTTGATAGCATTTTATAGATCAGGGATAGGGTTGCTTCTTGTATAATGGATTAGCTACTTATGGCAGGTATGGATGACATTATGGGTTCACTAACATTAGCACTGCCCACACACATAACAATCAGCAACGGTCATTCTTGTTCCTTGAGGCCGACGGAGGCACAAAATGGAAGGATTTTCTCAGAAAGACAAAAAAGAAAACACGGCAGATCACATTCATTGTTTTGAGTTTTCATCGTTGAAGCCTTGTTACCATATTCTTTGTTTGCGTTTTATCTCTGTTTGTTCCAGGTACTACTGTGACCACTGGATGGGAATGAGCTTCCCCGTGGACATTTTTTCTTTTCACATCTTGGACGAAGCGGCGACGGCTGACGCTCCGGGACGGCTGTACACATGAATGGCGTTCTGACAGACACAGAGCGAGAAAAGTGATGTCAAGTCATAGATCATGTAATATCAGATCAGAGGCTGTTTACCATTGTTATTTACCAATAAACAAAGAGCATTTTAAGATGTTGGTGGGATCAAATGAAATGCTGGAGCGTTGTTGTTTGTTTGTTTTTTTTTTTTTTACCTTTTGGGCTTCCGCATTGTACTTGTTGAGATGGCTCTGAACATTGTCTGCATAGTTTGGATGGACGGCTCTCAGGACCTCCACCTAACCAGCAGCGCACACAATTTTAGAGGGGGGCCACAAAGTTTACCCCCCCCCCAAAAAAAAAAACACTTTTTTTTTTTAAATCACAAAAACCTGGCATTTGAACAGTGCAGAGTTTTCAGACGCACAAACATAGAGTTATAACATTTAAAAAGCAACCAATTTTACATGTACAATTTGTCCAATTCAAATCTAATGTGTGGCCCTTCAGCAAAACAATTTGTCAATGTCCTTACCATGCGCTTCTGGATGAAGAGCTGTGCCCCCTTCAGGGAGCTCGCCAAATTCTGACAAAGCCTCTGTCGCTGCTCTTCGTTCAGCACCTGTGTGTAGAAGGCGCGAACCTGCAACAGGGCACCCCCTAGTTGGATGCAGCTCAACTGTGACCCCCCCCCGTTAGTCGGATGCAGCTCAACTGTGAATGGAGTCTCTTTTGCGGGTGGAGCAATTCCACGCAACTTTCGACCAAAGTACTTTTTTTTTCCCCCGCGGGGGTACTTTCGCTGGCTCTGACACAACGCTTACCTGGGTGACGTTATCGTCGTCGTCGCTGTTGTAACGCGCCACATCGGTGGACACCTTGAACGATGACTCCACAAATTGAGGTTGAGTATCTGGTGCGCTGAAGCTGTTGGGATAGTAGTTTGGAGCGCCACCTGGAGGACAGAAAGAATATGTGTAACGAGAGATAACCCGCAATGATTTCATAAAAGATATCTCTGCTGATCCATCAGCCTGACCTTGGTTGTCGTTCATGCACATTGGGCCGTCACGCTGGTAGTTGGCCACGCGGGCCCTGTAGGGGCAGTTGACGGGGATGTGCAGGTAGTTGGCGCCCAGTCGGTGCCGATGAGTGTCCGGGTAGGAGAAGAGGCGACCCTGAGGGCGGACAGAGGCCGCCGTGACACCCGGAGACGTTCGACACACATGATATACTCACGGGTGGCGCTTTTGAGGGCTGAATCGTATGTCCGCTTTGCCGCCATATTGGATGTGGCAAAATGATATCAAAACAACACCTTGTTCATGTAAGGCTTGAAGATGTGCTCATCGTTTTAAAATTTTAATTCCACGGGGTCAGACTCAACGCATGTTTGATCACAATTGGCCATTGTGACATTTTGGAGACAGATTTTGCTACCATGGGGTCACAAATAGCACTTGTGTGTGTGTGTGTTGCTCGTACCTGCAGCATCTTGTCAGGACTGGGCTCGATGCCCGGCGGCATGTTGCTGGGGTCGAATGCCAGCTGCTCCACCTCGGTGAAGTAGTTGACGGGGTTTCTGTTCAGGACCATTTTGCCCACAGGGATCAGCGGGTATTCTTTATGCGGCCAAACCTGCAGGTCAGACGGAGTCATTTGAAATTGGGAGTTTTGAAAGGTGACACTTTGGTTAGGTCAGTGACCTGCGGCCCATTATTTCAGCTTTAATGGGGGCATGTGCTCTACTTTTATCCAAACATGAGGCTCATGGTTAAACTAAAATGCGCCACATTTTAAGCACTTTGGTACCTTGGTGAGGTCGAAGGGGTTGAACCGGAACTTCTCGGCCTGCTCAAAGGTCATGACCTGAATGTAAAAAGTCCACGATGGGAAGTTGCCGTTGGCGATGGCGTTGAACAGGTCTCCGATGGCGTAGTCCGGGTTGGAGGCGGCCAGGCACTCGGCCTCCCCCACGGGCATGTTTTTGATCCCCTGGTCCGTCTAAAATACATCACATGACCGTTGCCGTCGCGGTGCTTGATGAGGTTGATGCTTCAAGGGGACATATGAATGGGAAATTGACTTTTCAATAGCTTGTACACAAAAATTTAGGTAGGCCCAGCCGCCAGAGGAACGAAGCGCAGTTTTAAACCGTGAAATCCAAAATGCACAACATCTCTGCTTTGAGGCTGACATGAAGGCTTCAAGTGACCTTGTAGTGGAACTTGCAGTACACAGGCTCCCCGTCGCCATTGATCAGCTTGAAGGTGTGCGAGCCGTAGCCGTTCATGTGGCGGAAGCCATCCGGCAGACCTCGATCACTAAACAGGAAGGACACCTGCGCATTTTAAAAACAAAAACATATATATTTTTATTCCAATTATGAATTAAAGCAACATCCAAACATGCAACAGATTCAAAGATGTTGCCAATAGGGTATGGGCTAGTACACCATGTTTCATCCAACCACTTTCTAACCCGCATAACCTCACAAGGGTCGCGCAGGTGTCCCAAAGCCTATCCCAGCTGTCTTCGGGCAGTAGGCGGGAACAGGAAGGACACCTGCGCATTTTATAAAAACAACAACATATATATTTTTGTTCCAATTATGAATTAAAGCAACATCCAAACATGCAACAGATTCAAAGATGTTGCCAATAGGGTATGGGGTAGTACACCATGTTTCATCCAACCACTTTCTAACCCGCATAACCTCACAAGGGTCGCGCAGGTGTCCCAAAGCCTATCCCAGCTGTCTTCGGGCAGTAGGCGGGGGACACCCTGAACCGGTTGCAGCCAATCTTATGGCACAAATAGACAAGCAACCATCCGTGCTCACAGTCACACTCAGATTTAGACTCTAAATGTTTTTGGAAGGTGGGAGGAAATCGGAGTACCCGCGGAAAATCCACGCAGGCACGAGGAGAACAGGCAAACTTCGCACAGGAAGGCCGGAGCCGGAATCGAACCCTCGACCTCTGCGCAGTGAGGCCGGCGTGCTAACCAGTCGAGCACCGTGCCGCCCACAATGTTTCAGTCTAAGATAATATTTTCTTTGCTTTATTATTATTATTATTTAATTTCTTTGCATTTTCATAAATAGACGTTGGCTCAATCAAACCATTTTTGCAACTCACGCTGCACATGGCTGACCTGGTGCAGAGTCTCGGGCCTCAGGCTAAAGAAGTCCCACAGCATGTCTGGGTCCTTCATGTGCGTCTGAGGATTGCGCTTCTGCGTGTGGACGAAGGACGGGAACTGCAGGAGGGAGGGGGAAAAAAAACTGCAGCAGTCAAGACCCGTAACTGAAGAAAAAAAAAACGGTTATCCCTGCTTTTATCTTACTAATGTGTGGGGACATAGAATATATTTCTAAGTGTCCAAAATGCTTCCGCGGCACACTCCTAAACCTTAGTATGAACAAGAATTCCACAAAGGCATTGTTTTGTTAGCGTGGGAGACGGCTGCTCTTGCTCGACTCACCAGCAGGGCGTCCTTGATGAAAAAAATGGGGGTGTTGTTGCCCGTCAGGTCCCAGTTGCCCTCATCTGTGTAAAACTTGACAGCAAAGCCTCGAGGGTCGCGCACAGTGTCCGCTGATCCCGATTCTCCCGCTGGGAAACAACAGAATTTAACATTTAGTAAAACATCACAAGAGCGAGCAGACCTGCGCCGAGGCCAAACCGTCAGAAAACCTCTCAGCGGAAAAAGAATGACTGTTCAACTCCAATCCTGTTGGTGGCAGTAATGCACTTCACAAAGCAAGTATTTTACTTTATGCCACAGCTCTGCTTCCTGCTACTGGGACGTGGAGGATCACTGTCCCACTTGGCCCTAATGCAAGCAGAGAGTAACAGCTGAAGCACGATCACAGCAAAGCTAAGAGGTAAGCAGAGCTGCAGTTTAAGCACATATTGTACATTGTTGGCATCTAAGAGTTGACCAGTCTCAGAACTGTGAGGCAGACAATAATTAAATGATGTCAGGGACCTTGATTTAGACACGTGAACTTAGAAAAAAATTAGACAATATTAAAAAGGTCCTTACTTGTCCAGAGTTGTTTACCCCATGACCAAGTTTCTCAAAATTAAATGGTTTTTTTTGCCGTCTTATTTCAGACCAGATACAAGCAAAATATGAGCGCTTGCCGAACGTCGAGGAGTCAACAAAGGTTCTCAACGACGCACGGACACTTACCCACAGTGGAGAAGCGTACAGCGATGGGCGTCACTTTGCCGACATGCTCAAACACCTTGGCCTTGCAGTAGCGGCGGATGTCGTGCGTCACCTCAAAGTAGCCAAACGCTCCTGTGAGCAGAGAAAGCCTCCTTTTATTCACGCTCAAATAGTTAACATCAAAAGTGAAATTGATAATCAGCACACTTCTACGGTTTAATCCACACATCCAGAGGAGCGACATTTGCTTTCAGTCAAAGTGGAGTAACTTACTTTACTGTTTCATCGTCACGCAAGTAAAAAGAGAAGATGGCAGAAAGACATCAAAACTAGTAGAGGTTAAAAAAAACCCAAAACAAAACAAAACAAAAAAAACCTCATTGTCTGAATAAGAGAAAAAAAAATCAACTATTGAAGAGAAGACACGATCCACGATGTTAATGGAAGATGTGCAGGAAAGTTAGGATGTACTTTGAACTACGGAATGCAAAAAAACAAAACAAAAATCATCCTAAACTCGAATTAAATTGCTAAAATGAATTACTTGCAGCACTAGGTTGCACTGTGTGGGGAAAAAAAAAAAAGACAAAAAAAAATAATAATAATAAACCCTCACCTGCCCCTTTGGCGTGCACCACCCGCTCAGGGATGCGTTCCCGGTCAAAGTGGGCCAACTCGTCGGTGAGGACGACATCCTGGACCAGGAGGGGGCCCCTCGGTCCGGCCGTCAGCAGGTTCAGCTTGTCTCCGATGGGATGGCCGCCGCTGGTGGTGAGCTGATCTGGCCTCTGATGCAACGGCATTGATACGAAGAGTCGGTTTTATGCTGATGTTTGCCGAAATGAACTAAATCATGTGAAGTTCATTTGGATTCGTTTTTAGAGCTAAATTGTTAGTTTTTATTTTTTCATAAATGCTTTACTCTAGATTAAATTTTCATCTGTTTTAGTTTTAGCTTTTTTTTTTAATATGGAGTATATGATAAAAAAAGCTCGGTAATATTGTGCAATAAAGTTAACTATAATTTTCAAAACAATTGCCCTTTCTTCTGTAGCTTCAGATGTACAGTGATACCAAAATAAATCAGTTTAAAATGAACCACGACAGCGCATGCATGACATTAACTGACAAAGATGACAACGAAGTACAGTTTCGCTAGACAGTAATTGTAGTTTTATAAACGTGAGATGTAGGTTAACTTGTTCTCATTTAAGCATTTTCGATTTTATTTTGTAAACAAAAATGTCTAAAATTTCAGTTGTTTCATTGGTTTTTGGTCACTATAGTAACCTCGACTAAAAACCGAACCAGCGATAGCTCGCTCTCCACCATAACAATATTTCTTCTTCTGAACATGAACAATTTTGCAATTTTCTAAAATAAGAACACATTTTTGTGGGCTGGTATTTTTTTCCCCACGGTGCTAAATTATAAAAACGAGTATTTGACAGTGATAGGTTAAGAATAAAAAAAAAATAGCAATAGTTTGTAATTACTAATCTGTACTTTTTAAAATTTACTCAGGTTCAGGATTTGAATGTGTACCCAACATTTTGATGCTATTGTTGTTTTAAAATAAACACAAGTCATGAACTTCCACTTCAGATTAGAAGTACTTTTGTCACCTCGGGTGAGTGGACGTGCTCAAATAACAATAAACGTTCGCTCTGTTTATATAACGGTCAAGGTTGAAGTCCGGTCATAATGAATTCCGATGGTCAGCACGATGGCCTACTCAGAATTCGACTTCGTTACTTTTCTCCCGTTAGCATGCTAGCAATTGTTGTTTTTGCAGCCCCGAATAACAGCAAACGACTAGCTCAGATACATGCAAATTAAGATTGGACGCAAAACAACACTGAGTGCAATGACAGAACAGTCAACACGTCAATAGTGGATTGTCGTTGACGTGCAATTACGACGCGGGAGAACGTCTGCGAACCAGCGACGACCTAAACAACGTTGAGCTCGTCTGCACCAAACGACCTCTCACCCACCCGACCCCCGTCCGAACCTGAGAGCTTCTATTTTGCTTCCATGTCTTCATTTGATCCGTTGCTTTGTCTCTGCTGTCAGCCATGTCGACAGATGATCGCTGAGCTTTTTCAACCACTGAAACGGTGTGTCACTTGAAAGTCTCCTCGTAGGCTGGCAACACTATATATTTCTATTTTGTTTCCGGACTTTGTTCGATCTGGCCCCGCCCCCGCTGGCTTCCTCTCTTCTGATTGGCCGCTGTGCAAGATTGACCTACTTTTTGGGGACCCGAGGAACAAAACAGCTCTCCTTATTTGGCTTATGGACGTTACGCAACATCAACTTTTGTGACTTTAATGATTGGCCTCGGTTGAACTGTGGTCCCGGGCTGAAAATGAATAAACTTAGCCAGTTAAATACTTAACCTATCTATTATGCAAGGGTATCTTTTGATACCATCTTATTATTAATGTTATCAAAAAAAAAAAAATATATATATATATATATATATATATATAAACTAAAGCAATTTAAAAAAAAAACAACAACAAAAAAAACAGTAAAGTAGCTTGCGAGTGTCCAGCGAACCAGCTAAGCTAGTGAGACCTTTGGGTATGCATTAATCATTGTATTTATTTTTACACATTTTCAAAAAGCAAAACACAGGCCGGGGCCCTGACTCTCATACATTTATTTAAACTTTTGAGGCATTTTTCTTCCAGAAATTTCGGCTTGAAGTGTAAATTGTGGAAACCACAGTTGACAGGGACTAAGTCGAAAGCCAAACATTCGCAAGACACAATATTTACACTCTAATGTCAACGTGACTACTATTGCAAGAATGACTGTTAAGAAAAACAAATGAACAAAACTGCGACATGACTTTAATACACCGATTATACTGTCCTGCTCATTCGGATTTTGCCACCCTGCAACATCTGCTGCAAATTACAATTACGGTAGATGACCTGGAGAGATAAAAAGAGTACCTGGATTGTGTTTCTTCAAAAGCACACCAAACACTGCACCAATCCGTCAAGTCAGGTAGACTCCAAGAGTCATTTCCTTGCAATCCGAAGCCACCGCCAGAGGAGGAACAATGCAATTGGGGTGGCGTGGGGGCAAGGTATTAGGGTATACAAATGAAACCACTCATGTCAGCATCCAAGAATGAAATAGGTGGTGAGAAGCAGTCATCTGTTCGGTACTTATAATTGAACGACTGACTGCAAGCCTTTTATGGAACATGGTTTCATAACTTGTGTATATGCTAGAGGCATGGCAGATTTTTTGCGGGTGTTCACCGTACGTGAAAATCAGTTTTCAAGGCAGACTTTTGCAGAAAAGCGAAATGTCGTGAGGTATGATTTTTGCTAAGTGCGGTTGACATGATAGTGGTGGTATTTAGAGGTGGATGAAGTCTGACAAGGCCCCCATGCTGAAGGCTCGGGTCCCAATCGCATGGCCCGCCACTGGCATACTTCGGTCTCCGAAAGGCGGTATTCTTGAGTTAGCTCTTGCGTTGGGAAGTCAGCGTTTCCCCTTCAAGTCAGATCCTGCGCAGCGGGTGCCACATGGACACGGGCTTCCTCAGCGTGGCCAGCATCTGGTTCCAGTGGGTGATCCCCATGCCCCCCGTCTCGGGGCCGATGATCACGTGGCCCAGGTTCTCGCCCCGCCCGTCGTCGGACGACTCGGCCACAGTGACTCGCAAAGAGAGCTCCTGGATGGAGGGGAAGGGAGGGGGGGGGCCGTTTCCCCTTCAAGTCAGATCCTGCGCAGCGGGTGCCACATGGACACGGGCTTCCTCAGCGTGGCCAGCATCTGGTTCCAGTGGGTGATCCCCATGCCCCCCGTCTCGGGGCCGATGATCACGTGGCCCAGGTTCTCGCCCCGCCCGTCGTCGGACGACTCGGCCACAGTGACTCGCAAAGAGAGCTCCTGGATGGAGGGGAAGGGAGGGGGGGGGCAGAGAGGCTTACAAATCAGCGTTACATAAGCATGACTCGGCAATTGATATCAATAAACAAACGTCC